TTGATGTGGCACTGTTGAGTGTTATATATATACATTCATTTTTCACTGATTCATGTTTGATTCACTTTTTTCACTATTTTTCACGGATATTCACTGTACAAATTATATGTAAATTGTGATGTATAAAGGGTAATATATGTGATTTTCCTTTTTTTTTGAGGTGGATATATTTTGGGACATCGTTGGAAGAAATTTTTGGACTTTTAGTTGGTGGATTGTACATAAATTTGAGTGGACTTTATTTTGTAGTGGATGGATATATATAAAAAAATAATTTTTATTTTTGGGATAAAGGTATATAGAGATATTATATCTCACAGCTATTGTATAATTAGGATAAATTTGTAAATTCACTGTCACTTTATATGATGTTTGTTAAACCGCTTCACGTTCAAGTTCATTGAATGACCAGTGTCCCTTGAGCGACCTTAGACTGAGCAGTTTTCTCCCTACGCTAGATTCACAATATTTATGTATTGCGATCATATCTCCTCTTAAGTGTCTCTTCTCCAGGGAAAACAAGCTTACCATATGAGAAGCCGTTCCTCAAAACTGAGGTCCTCCAGCCCCCTTTATTAGTTTAGTTGCCCTTCTCTGGACTCTCTCTCCAATTTCAGCACAACTTTCCTGAGGACTGGTGACCAGAACTGGATGGAATGCTCCAGATGTGGCCAGACAAGAGATTGTAAAATGGTAGAAATATAGATTTATCTCTTGAGTAAATCCCCTTTTTAATGTGTGCTAATATTCTGCTGGCCTTGCATCCCACATGGAAGAAAAATATATTTTAAATATATTTTAAAAATACATTCTTAATATATTCTTCTCAAATATATTGACATATATATTTCAAATACTACAATTTTGGCCACATTCAAAATATTTCAAAAATATATTTCAATATATCTGTGAATATATTATTAAAAATATATTCAGAACACATGCTGCAAATATATATATATATATATATATATATTATATATATATATATATATATATATATATATATATATATCAAAGTGTAATTTGGAATGCATTTACAAGTATATTCAAAAATCTATGTTTAAATGCATTTTTTTAGATGTTCAAAAATATCTGGAAAAATATATTTTGAAAAATATGCCTTTGGAAAATATATTTTAATTTACATTTTTGGAATACATGTTAAAAATATACTCGTGTAGGCCAATATATTGTAAACAGGGGCGGACTGACCATGTGGAAACTCGGGCACTGCCCGAGGGCCCGGGGACAGTAGGGGGCCCCATGAGATGCCCCTGGTACCTTTTTCATAGGTTATTTTGAGTTTTGGCAAGGACACAGGGGCCCCATGATCCCCTATTGCCCGGGGGGCCCCATGAGTTGTCAGTCCGCCCCTGATTGTAAATATATGTTGCATGTATAATTTTTTTTATCAATATGTTGAAAATATATTTATTTTCCATATGGGATGGTTTGGCTTGATATTGCTGAGTCTGTCATCAACTAGGAACCCCAGGTCCTTTTCCATCCTGGATTCCCCCAGAGATTCTCCCCCTGGCATGTAGCCTGCATTCATATTTTTAGTCCCCAAGTGCATCATATTCCCCTATATTGAACCTCATTGGCCATTTAGTTTCCCACCCCCATATTTTATTGAGGTCTTCCTGCAAAGTTTCAATATTCTGTTGTGAAGTTATTGCCCTGCTTAGCTTCGTATCACCAGCAAATACCAAGATTGAACTAATTATACCAACCACTATATTGTTTGTGAACAAGTTAAACAGATTTGGTCCCACAGAGCCCTAGACACATCACTCACAACTCCAGACCATTCAGAAGCTATAATATTTATCCCCAACCTTTGGACGTGTCCTTGTAACCAATTTTCTATCCAGGTATATATACCATCATTGATGGCAACAGACCTCAATTTGTAAATTAGGCATTTATAGGATACATTGGGGAAGTCTATATACACTACATCCTTAGACCTTCCTTTATCCAAATTACAGCTCACCTCCTTATAGAATGTTAACGGGTTGGTCTGGCAAGAATGATCTTTTTATAAAGCCATGCTGGTTACTACTAATGACTTTACTTTCATCAGCAAAGTCATCTTATCATCCCCTCCGATAGTTTACATACTATTCATGTAAGGCTAACTGGCCTATAGTTTCCTGGTATGAATCTCAGCCCTTTTTTTGAATATTGGCACCACGTTATCTTTCCATCTGTCCGCTAGTACCATTCCTGTCGGTAAACTGCCCTTAAAGATTAGGTAAAGGGGTTTAGCAATGACCTGGCTAAGTTCTTTGTGGGCTCTCGGGTGTAGTCCATCTGGCCCTGGAGATTTGTTCACATTAAGTTTTTTATGTCAAGAACACTGGCCTCTGTTAGCCACAAGGGTACACTCCTTGCTGTGTTGCTAATTCTATCGTCTTGCCTATTATACCCTTCCTCAGGGGTGGACTGACAACTCATGGGGCCCCCGGGCAATAGGGGATCATGGGGCCCCTGTGTCCGTGCCCAAACTCAAAAAAGCCTATGAAAAAGGTACCAGGGGCATCTCATGGGGCCTCTTACTGACCCTTGGCCCCAGTGCCCGAGTTTCCATATGGTCAGTCTGCCCCTGTCAGGGACTGCGGGTCTCGCGGCGGCGCACAGGTCTGTGCATGCGCAGATTGCCTAGGTGCACTAATGTGCAGGCACTAGGACCTGGGCGGCGGCAATTGCGGACACGCTTGCGCACGCAGGCGGGCGCGCGCCTGGCGCCAGTGACGGTGCTGGGCGCACTATTTAAACTGGCCAGGCGGTGACCAGCTTGCCGCAAGGTCTAGTTCCTGTAGTCGATCCTGCTTGTCCTGATTGTGTTGACCTTCTCCTGCTCTGACTCCCGGCTCGTCCCTGACTACTCTCCTGCCTGTTGCTATATTACTATTGGACCTCCCATTGCTGAACCTTGGCTCATGACCCGGCTGCTCTCTGTCTACTGCTTGGTACCTACCTGCCTCCACCGTGACCGACCCGGCTAGTCTGACTACGCTCATTCCTGACTGTCATCCATCCATCCCACTCGGGACCTGGACTTGTCAGCCTCTTCACATCAGGCTCACCCCCGGCACGTACCCTCGGCGGAACCTCTCTACCACAGTTGGGTGCACTCAGGGGTCGCGACCTGGTTTCAGTCTTGCACCAAGTCCATCCCCCATTAGGGGCTCTGGTGAAAAGGCAGACTGGGACTCAGACTCCGCGTCCTGGGGAATCCCGTTCTGTGGATCACTAGAGATTCCTCCGGGCGGTGCCTGACACCGCCCCTGCCCTCCCTTTTCCATAGTGAATACTGAGGATAAAAAAACATATTTAATAAATTTGCCTTCTCCCTGTTGCTTGTAACTGACTTTCCTTGACTATCCTTTTTGGGGCCAATATGATCTGACTTTACTTTTTTACTATTTATATATTTTTTAAAAATGTGGGGATTCTTTTTACTTTCCTCAGCAATGTGTCTCTCATGGTCTATTTTCGCTGCCCTGATTGAGCTCTTACATTTCTTATTACATTCTTTGTTGGAATGCTGACAATGTCCCTTCATCCTTACATTTTTTAAAGGACAGGTTTTTTTCTCTTAAATATGCTTTTTTATGCTCACATTTAGCCACCCAGGGTTAACCTTAGTTAACCTTTTATGTTTATTGCCCATTGGAATACACTGGCTTATGTCATTAATTAAAATGTTCTTATAGCACTCTCATTTTTTTCTCCATGTTTTTGTTTCAAGAATATCTTCCTATTTAATGCCATGAAGTGTGCAGCACAATTTGGTAAAGTTGGAAATTCAATGTACATGCCCTACCCTAGTTTCTGCTTTTCCTATAATTTACAGCGAAAGTAATTGCCCTGTGATTGCTATTTCCTAAATTATCTCTTGCTTCCACGTTTAGTTGCCAAAACAATTGAGTTATTTTGGGGGGGGGGGGGGTTCTTAGGTCATTATCAGAGGTAAAGAATAATATAAGGGAATAGTCCAGGGAGATAATCAGGGGTAAGGTATAATATAAAGATGGAGAGGGGTTTAAGTCCAAGAGTCCAAATAGGAAATTTATAAGGCCTCAGTTTCTTATTATGTCCATCCAGTCTGGGACATGTTGTCATATTTTGTGCAGCTATTTTCTCTGTCAGCTCCTTAATTCCCAATAGAATTGGGAGTTTAATTTTCTCTTCTATAGAAGTGAAGTCTGGGATGAGCCTCTGAATAAGAGTGTCTCTGCTGAATTGGAATGTACTCACTGCTAAGTACCTAGGCCCCCATAGCAGGAAGTAGACCTAATCTTCTAGGGCCCCCGGTCACACCAAGGGCCCAGTCTTCTCTCTTTGGGTTTGTAGATCCGCCTGTAGCACCCTGATTCGATTTGAAGGCTGTGGGTCTGTCTTTGGGGTCTTGTAGCATCTCCAGGTCTGTAGGCTCTCTTCACTAACTGATAAGTTTGAGTCTCCAATTATCCACATAATTTATTAATTATTTGGAATCATTTATTATGGCTTTACTTCAATGTTTTGTCAGGCTGCATTGATGATTGAGTTTTGAGGTGACAACCTGCTGATGAGTTGTGGCATGCCGCATGGCTTTGATTGATCCTTGTTGATCAGTTAAGCTTTATGAAGGAATGGGCTGGTGCTGCTGTTTAGTAGATGACCTGCAAGCTGCCCAGCTCAGCACGACAAGCACTGTTAGAGTTTTTCCAATGGACTTGGAAAAGGTTCTTGCAAAATTCCAAAGGGAATATTTCTGCTGGGCTGGGGGTCCCATTTATGTTGGTCTCTGGTAGGTGACAGGGCTCCAAACTTCACTGACATAAAAGAAGATTGGAGTAATGACACTGTCAAATATTTTGTCAAACCACTCTTACCAGTCATTTTAGGTTAAGCATCTGTCCAACAATCTATCTTGTTATCCTCTCTCTCTCTTTTACTATCCCTTTTCTTCCCTCTCTCCCAACTTCTACAGCTCTGGTACTCACCAATCATCAGGTTGGCTATGGATGCCGTGATGGTGAACTGCCTCTCCAGGAACTTGGCCATGAAGGTTGCCAGTCCGCAAACCATGACAGAAAGGTTCGCTTGAGCCATGACCACCAAAAAGTAAACCGGGTTCTTCAACGTCCTGAGCAAAACTTTGGGGAAGACTGAAATAAAAGATAGACAATAGGAGAGTTGTGCTACATGTGTGATAAGGAAGTCAACAACCTCTGCACTTGGTGAATGGCTTTGAAGGTTTATTTAGAAGAAAATAACTATGTTAATATTATTATTGTACAGGATTTATATAGCGCCAACAGTTTGCTCAGCGCTTTACAATATAAAGGAAGACAATACAGCAATAATACAGTTCAATACAAGAGGGTTAGGAGGGCCCTGCTCCATGGAGCTTACAATATAAGAGGAAGGGGCAGGTGTTACAAAATGTAATAATTGTGGGGGATGAACTGATAGGAGAAATAGAAGATTCGGTTAAGGCAGGATAGGTTTCTCTGAAGTAATAGGTTTTCAGAGATCGCCAAAAAGTGGGAAGAGTAGGCGCTAGTTGGACAGATTGGGGTGAGAGCTCCAGAGGATGGGGAGAGGCTCTGGAGAAGTCCTGGAGATGAACATGGGAGGAGGAGACAAGGGAACTAGAGAGCAAGAGATCGTGAGAGGAGCGGAGAGGACAATTTGGGTGATATTTGGAGTCAAAACTGGTGATGTAATTTTGGGCAGAGTTATAAATGGCTTTATATGTTATTGTTAATATTTTGAATTTTATTTGTTGGGCAATGGGAAGCCAGTGGAGGGATTGGCAGAGAGGGTTATCAGATATGGAAACAGTTGGTAAGGTGGATGAGTTTGGCAGCAGCATTCATGATAGACTGAAGAGGGCATAGCCTGCGATTAGGTCGGCCAATGAGGAGGGAGTTACAATAGTCAAGGGGAGAGATAACAAAGGAGTATATAAGTTGCTTCGTGATTTTGGTGGTTAAAAACGGGCATATCTTGGAGATGTTGCGGAGGGGAAGTCTACAAGATTTGGACAGTGATTGGATTTTGGAGCTGAAAGGACAGATAAGAGTTCAGGATTACACCTAGTACACTGGCATGAGGGGAGGGACTGATGGTTGTATTATTGATCTTGATGGAGAAGTCAGGGGAGGGGGCACAGGCTGGGGGGAATAGTATAAGCTCAGTTTTTAGAAAGATTTAGTTTGATCAAGTGGAGGAGTATCCATATCCATGCTGATATGTAACTTAGTGAGTAGATGAGGGGAGAAGTGAGGAGGAGACTGAAAAGATAGATTTGTGTGTCATCAGCATAGAGATGGTACTTGAAGCCATGGGAGTTTATCAAGTGACCAGGAGAGGAGGTGTAGATGGAGAAGAGAAGGGGTCCAAGGACAGAACCTTGAGGGACCCCTATAGAAAGAGGAAGAGAGAGTTATAGGTAACACTGAAGGAGCGTTGAGATACAGTAGGTAGGAGAAGAGAAGCAGGAGAAAGCAGAGTTTCAAAGGCCAAGAGAGTGGAGTTTTTTTTTTTTGAGGAGGGGGATGGTCAACAGTATCAAAAGTCACAGAGAGGTCAAGTAGTAAGAGTACGGAGTAGTGGCCATTGGTTGGGATGAGTACGGAGTAGTAGTGGCCATTGGTTGGGATGAGTACGGAGTAGTGGCCATTGGTTTTAGCAGTTAGTAGATCATTAGTGAGTTTTAATAGGGCAGTTTCAGTGGAGTGTAGAGAGCGAAAGCCAGACTGTAAAAGGTCAAGAAGGTTGTTGTCGGTGCGGTGGGAGCTCAGGTGATTGTAGACTAAGCGTTCTAGGAGTTTAGAGGTAAACGGGAGCATGGAGATGGGTCATAAAATTGTTCAGATTGCTGGGGTCCAGTGAGGGCTTTTTAAGTATGGGAGTGATCTGTGCATGCTTTAGAGGGGTGGGGAAGGTGCCAGAAGGGAGGGAGAGATTGAAGATGTGAGTGAGGGAGCAAAGGATAGAAGAAGAAGACTGTAGTAGTTGTGAGGGGACGGGATCCATGGAGCAGGTAGTGAGACGGGCTTCTGAGAAAATTTTAGTGACCTCTTCAGTAGTAGCAAGTTCAAAAGAGGAAAGTATTGAGAGAGGTTAAGTATAAGGAATGCTAAGTGGGATAGATGTATGTGCCAAAACGCACAAATTGCAGCAATCTTGTTTTTGAAGTGATTGGCAATCTTGTAAGCAGTGAGTGAGGTACTGGGTGGAGGTGGAGACAACCTTTCCCCACACAAAAGTAGAGAGTTAAAAGTAGAGAAGATGATGATGAGGACTGGATGATCAAGGTATTAATAAGAGTGACAAAATAGGCTTTTTTGGCTGCATGGAGGGAGGAATTGTATGTGAAGAAAGCAAATTTATATCGGGGTGAATGCTTGGTGAGATTTGGTTTTACGCCACAATTGCTCCAGCGCACGACTATATGTCTTAAGATTTCTGGTGTCATCAGTCTGCCACGGTTATAATGGTCAGGGCCTGATACTTTGTGTAGTAAGAGGAGCAAGTGAGTCTAGTGTAGGTGAAAGTGAACTGTTGTAGACAGAAGTAGCCAGGTCAGGGCAGGACAGGGGAGAGATTCTGTCATAAGGGTGGTCAAGTTGCAGAGTGGAAAATAGAAGGTTTAAAGTTGTGAAGGTTTCTGCGGGTGATTGTTTGCTGTTCAGAGGGATAGGTGTTTGAAGACAAGGACACTGTGAAGGTGCTGAGATTGTGATCAGAGAGAGGAAAGGGGGTGTTTGTGAGGTTGTAGGGAGTGCAAAGATGGGAGAAAACAAGGTCTAATGTATTCCCATCAGAGTGAGTGGAGGTCTGTGTCCATCAGAATGAGTGGAGGACTGTGTTCATCAGTGAGTGGACGACTGTGTCCATCAGTGAGTGGAGCACTGTGTTCATCAGTGAGTGGAGCACTGTGTTCATCAGTGAGTGGAGGACTGTGTTCATCAGTGAGTGGAGGACTGTGTCCATCAGAGTGAGTGGAGGACTGTATCCATTGTGTTAAGGCAAAAGATGAGGTTGGTTGAAGAGTTGGGATGTTGCCGGGTTGTTCACAGTAATAGGAATTTTAAAATCACCAGGAATGATAGTGGGTATTTCAGAAGATAGGAAGTAGGGTAATCAAGCAGAGAAGTCATCAAGAAAGTGTGACACTGATCTAGGAGGCCGATAGATCACTGCAATCCTCAGAGAAATGGGAGAAAACAGCCAAAAGCAGTGAGTTTTTTAAAGAAGAAGCGGATAGAGAGGGAGGGTTAGGGAGGACTTGAAAGGTGCTCAGTGGGGATAGAAGCAAACCAACTCCACCACCTTTCCTACCACTGGGTCTGGGTGAGTGAGCCCAGAGAAGGCCTCCATAGGAAAGGGCTGTGGGAGAAGCAGAATCTGATGCTTAAAGTCAGGCTTGTGTAATTGCTTGTAGGTTAAGGGAGCGGGAGACAAAATGGTCATGGAAAGAGGTGAGCTTCTTACAGACAGAGTGGGCATTCCAGAATGCACATGGAAAAGGGAGGGCGGTTTTTAGGAGCATAGGGATTTAGATTAAACTGAGTGGATTGCGGCTAATCCTGGAGGAAGGAGAGTGCCTGGTGTGGGGGTGAGATACTGGAGGACCAGGATGCGTAGAGATAGAAGAAGAAGGAGGGTGAGGAAAGTAAGGTGGGAGCGGGATGTATATGAGTGCACATGCCTTCCTATCCAGGTGTTTGGGTCAGTAGGTGAGTAAAGTATCAGCAGGAGGTGATGAGAGCAGTAGTATGGAGATGGCAGCAGTGAGGGTGAGATGTATAGGCTTTGGGTTGGAGCATAAGGGTAAAGAAATGAGATTTTGAGTGTAGAGGATAGTTGTATGAAAAGGAGGAGTAGAGGCTGTAGCAATTGTGCCCACAGAGATGGACGCAGTCCTCCATTTTGTTAAGAACCCTTCCATGTTGTCTCATCTCTCTCCCTCCCAAACAGGCTTTCTCCTCCAATCATACCCCCTCCCTCGCTGTTGAGTGGCATGTGGTCTGGGTGATAACAGAGGTCACAGGCAAACCAGGCACAGCAGGAGAGCTCTGAGCTATAAAACCCCCAACAGAGCTGGGGTCTAGCTGTCTGGTAGCTGTGCAATCTGGGATATCGTAAAAGCGTAAACCAAGTCCTTCAAGGGAGTTCAAAGACATTCCAGAGAAGTCATAAAACAAGACACCACATTCAACATCTATTTCCCCTATGATTTCATATCTTGGAATATGAGAGACTTACATAAAAACCAGGCATATATTCAGATTGGTCACGTTAATACAAATTGTTTGGTATATTACCAATAGGAGAGCAGAAAATAAAATCTCCTTAACCGTCCCAGCAGGTATGTCATATTTCATATGCAGACATTCAGCAGACGATTCTGCATATTAATCTACCAGTGGGTGGAATGTTACATGTACCTAGGAAAAGGTATGGGTCAAAATATAAGCTATGAGAGTTTCTGGTTATAACTTAGGTCTCCACCTACACTTTCCTCCCCAAATGAGATGATTGGGTTACTGCTCCAGGGAGACACCCTGTGGATTTGTTAGAAAAGCTAGGCTGAGTTGAGGTGTGTGTGAGAGTTGAAGGTCTCCAGGCTTTTAACATCAAAACTAACAGTGGGAGATCAAAGCATCCTTTTGGCTCACGAAACTTCAAGCTGCTTAACCCAGGACATGTGACAAGTACTTTAACCCTCTAACTTCTTTCTGTTATCTCTTTGCTGTATTATTGTTCTCTGTATATTTATATATATATTGGCTACATCTTTTTCTGTAAATATTTTTATTGCACCCTTTTGACCTTTTAGTAATAAATCTTACTTTCTGAAGCATTGAACTGTTTCTAAAGCTCTTTAATGCCAACTACAAATTCCTGCCGCTGAAGAGCGCTACTGTGTGTGTTTGACCCTCTGTATAACCTGCCTGCGGTGACAGTGGTATACAGACGATTATTCAACCATCATAGTGTTATTGCTAATATTGCCGAGTTTCCTCTTTCTCTGTACAAAAAGGAGGTGGTGGCAGTGTGAAGGGTTAATTGCGTAGTTAACCTGACCCAGTAACAATCGCGCTCAGGCTGCAGGTACACAGATTGTGGTCCATTAGCTGGAAAATCTGTGTGC